AAAAAAAAAAAAAAAAAAAACAGAGAAAAATGGTGAAAGCCCCAGAAGATGAGCACCCAGTGAAGGCCTTCGGGTGGGCTGCCAGGGACACTTCCGGAATTCTTGCCCCCTTTCATTTCTCCAGAAGGTATCGAAAATGGGTTCTCTTTTTTTATCAATTAGTATTCAATTTTCTATTCATTTTTCGATGTTAAATTGTTGCACAATTGATAATTCAATTGTGTATTTTCTTGATAATTCAATCCGTAAATGAGTATGTGAGTGCACTGTGCAAGATCACTGTTAGTACTTTATTAGTTTTGAAATAGTTGTGAAATTAGGCTGCCTGTACACTGGATTTGGTTGGAGTATTTGGTCCCGCTAGTGTTTTGTTATCAAATCTTGGTACTAATTTTAGTATTAATCTACTGGAAGATGCTACGGTCCCGTTATGGAACTATTTCGTCGTCGAGGTTTGTAATTATTAGATCAACTATCTCTTACGGTTACATGATGATCTAACGTTACAAACCCCGACAGAATAATAATGTAACGGGACCTTAGCATTTCCCTAAACTACTAATCTTTGGTTAACTGTTTTGTTAGTTACATTCTTTCTTTCTTGTTCTTTTCTTGTTTTTGATCCCTTATCTGTTTTCAATATCTTATTTCCTCACCCTTTGAAGGGCAACTGGGGAAAAAGACGTGAAATTGAAGATTTTGTACTGTGGGGTTTGCCATTCGGATCTCCACAGCGTGAAGAACGAGACGGGTCGGGTCACCTACCCTGTTCTCCCCGGGTATTCACCTTTCCTTCATCACAATTTCCTATATTAGTCCGTCTCACCGTTAGGTAACAGTTAGGCAGGTCGATCGAGGTGTAGGATAGACATTTCAACTTAAAAGTATGCATATATATCTTAAAAAAAGTACGTTCGGGCCTAGTTCGGGTCTAATAGTAGCCTTACTGTTCCTTTATTGTTACGGGCATTTCAAACTTTCAAGGCTAGATTGCATTTTTAATGCAGATTGTTTAACGCCATAGCAATTTCAACAATAATGCTAAGGAGCCAACAACCAATTATACAGCTCCATGTGGGGCTGTCCCACATGACTTTAATGTGGGACAGCCCCACATGGAGCTGTCCCATTAGCTATTGGCTCCGTAACGGAGCCAACAGTTGGCTAGTTGGCTCCTTAGAGCATCTGCAATGCTTTGGGTCTAATTTTGATAATGTGGCAAATAAATAGACTTAAGTCTTGGGTGACATGGACAAAAATATATAAAAGTAGCAAAATTGACTCCAATGCAAAGAGACTAGGTCTTTGCTTGGGTCTAAATTAGACTTAAGGATAGACTGGTCTCTTTTTTCTGCTGTCACGTCAGCAAGACTCAGTCCATTTGCAGTTACATTGGAGTATATAATTTTTTAAACTCAGTCTATTTCCTACATGGCTAGTATATTTTTTTGAATGGACCCAAAGCATTGCTGATGCTCTTAGCATTACTGGCAATTTCAAACCACGATTCTAACATTTCGCCTTTTAGTCCCGTGATTCAATATTTTACTGTAATTCCACTAATATTGCAACAAATTCCCAAATTTTTATCTTTGGAATGATTTTTTCATTAGGAATTTAAGTCATGTAATTTAAAATTCTGTAACAATTCCCTCTAATTTGAAATTTTGTTGCAATTTCAGTCTTTTGAGGACTGAAACAAAAAATTAAATCACAAAAGCAAAAGGCAAAAAGTTGAAACATTGAGAAAATTGCTATGACGTTAAATTGACTAAAAATGCATTTTGGACAATTGCAATCTCATTTTACACAATCCACAGTACTTTCTTATTATTCTTTCCCCCACCATAGCCACGAGATTGCGGGGATCGTGACCGAGGTGGGCCCCGCGGTGACCAAAGTCAAAGTCGGGGACCAAGTTGGGGTCGGCTGCATGGCAGGCTCGTGCCGCACGTGCCCCAGCTGTAAGGACGATCTCGAAAACCAGTGCCCGAAGATGGTCCTTACATATCGAAGCAAATATTTCGACGGGACTCCGACTTACGGAGGCTACTCGGACATCATGGTATGTGACGAGCACTTTGTGGTCCGTTGGCCCACCGGCATGCCGCTCGATGCAGGTTGTCCGCTTCTCTGTGCTGGAATCACAACGTACAGCCCGATGAAGTTTTTTGGGCTGGACAAGCCCGGGATTAGCCTCGGTGTAGTGGGCCTAGGCGGGCTGGGCCATGTGGCCGTCAAGTTCGCCAAGGCGTTTGGGGCTAAGGTGACTGTTATCAGCACGAACCCGGATAAGAAGGAGGAGGCCATCAAGAGTCTTGGGGCCGACTCGTTTTTGGTCAGCAACGATCAAGATCAAATGATGGTACTTTCGATCTTTGGTTTTTGTGTGTGTGTGTGTGTGTGTGTGTGTGTGTGTGTGTGTGTGTGAGAGAGAGAGAGAGAGAGAGAGAGAGAGAGAGAGAGAGAGAGAGAGTAGTTAAAGGTGTAAATGAGCCGAGCTTGAGCTCAAGCTGCTCGAGCTCGAGCCCTTAACGAGTTGAGGTCGGCTCGTTAACCTCACGAGCTTATAATGGAGCTCAATCTCCACTCGTTTATCAATATTAAGGAGCCGAGCTCGAGCCAAACTGAAAAAAGAATTATCTATTCGAGCCTTAACTCAACTAGCTTTAAATGTGCTCGAGCTTGACTCGTTTATCAAATGAGGCGAGCCGAGCTCGATCCTTAACGAGTCGATTCGAGCTCGATCCTTAACGAGTCGATACGTGCTGAGCTTGACTCATTTAATTTAACAACTCTAAATGTAGTAAATTGGCTTTTCTTTGTGGTTTTTGTAGGAGGCGGCAAGCACACTGGATGGGATATTGGATACGGTTTCGGCTCATCATGCAATCCAGCCGTTGCTTAATTTGCTGAAGTCGAATGGGAAGCTTATAGTTGTTGGCGTGATACCGAAGCCACTGGAATTGCCTGTTCTTCCTCTACTTTCCGGTAAATTTTGCGCTCGTTTTAGAATATGCACCACTAATAAAAATGAAGAGAAAATGTGGCAAGTGATTTCTACTTTTTACATCATGTTTCATGTAATGAATTATCTATTCTTTTTCACCTTTTTTCTTTTTTTTTTCATATGTGTAATAACAGGGAGAAAGATAGTGGCTGGGAGTGGAATTGGAGGCATGAAGGAAACTCAAGAGATGATGGATTTTGCAGCAAAACACAACATAACAGCAGATATTGAGGTTATCCCAATGGATTACATCAATGAAGCTATGGAACGTTTGGAGAAAGCAGATGTTAAGTACCGGTTTGTGATCGACATTGCTGGAAGTCTTACAAATGCATAAATTTGGTCTTACGAGAACTTTCCATTTTGTCGACTATGAATGTGATCTATGTCAGTTCTGTTGTTTTGTTCACCTTTCCTTTTTACTTACCGAGTGCTTGTATGCTTTTGTATCCTCTAAAGTTATCCATGTGTATGAATAATGTGTGTGACAATTTTCTCAAGAAAATTACATGAATGGATCCCTTTTGTGAGACATTTGTGTTTTTCTATTGAATTTTGAGATTGTGGTTATGGGTGGTTTACCAAAATCTATTCATAAGTCAAAGCAAAAGTTATTGTTTGCCTATTCATGTGCAAAATCTGTGGAAATTTGAAAGAGGACCTGGGAAAGACACTGAAAGATAGATTTTAGGCTGACAAATCTTGGTTTTATGATTAACAATAATAGTGCATATAATGTAGATTTAATCCTTTTATATACAACTTAGATTTTGGCTGATACATCTTAGTTATATGATCAACAATTAGTATTGCATATAATGTAGATTTAAGTGATGCTGCTACTAGTCAAAGTGAGCCTGCTTGGTTTGATCTGAAGAACCAGTTAATCAAAGTAATTTTTTTATTAGTCAAATTCAGTTCAACAACAGCAGTGATAAAGATTTTTTCACTTCGTTACTCTGGGTAAATTTCATTTGAACAGAAATAAATAATAATAAACTTCAAGATTAAATGAATGGAATCACTGACAATTTTCTTCTTTACAAGGGAGGACACTGAATATATGTATAAAAAAGCTGAAAAAATATTTGGACTTGAGCCAACAAACAAGTTAAGAACACAATAGCTACACACAGTCCACATTCCCTCTCATGGAAGTTTAAAACAAAAAACAAGTCGGAAAGAAAACTGAAGAACCTGTAAAAAACTTTGCCATATTCTTTGCTCTCTCTTTTTCGTGCACGGGAAAAAATACGTATAAATAGCTTCACCATCGAGCATACTTTAGGGAAAGTTGCTGGGAGATCACGGTCGATGATTAATTAATTCTCAACGAGTTGTGAAAGATAAACCATGTAGTAGTAGTTTTTGCTATCTAAGCCAGCTTTGTAGCATTAATTGCTGCATCAAGACAGCTAAAATGCTGCCCATGGATATGTTGATTACATTGACTACATCGTTGTTAAGCTGAAAAGAAAAAAATAAAAAGAAAAATTAAATAAGGAATGAATAGTAAACATGAAATTGATGCACTCTGATTTTATTCCTAAAAACACAATTTTTTAGAAGGATGGACTCACAAACGTACACACATTAGGAGAAGTTAAAAAAGAAGAAGTTAATTTGGTTTATATTTTAAAGAATGCATCGAGTAAGCTAAAGTGAACAAGGAAAGGACAATGACTAACTAACCCATCGGAATCCATCTTTCTCCTGAAGCTCAGCTCCTATGATACTTTCTCCAAGATTCGCAATCTGGGAAGCGATCACACATATGACAGCTTCAGGTACATTTATCTGCTTTGACATAAATCCTTCATTAGTTACAATAATCGGGTTTAGTGGAAAAATTAACATTTCATGCTGCTCAAGTAACACACTCATGTGAAATGGCTTGTTGAGTAAGAACCACTAATTTAACTTTCTTAATCGTTACATAACATGATCAGCAGCTATCCTTATTTGCAATAAGCACATCGATTTTTTTAATTTCTAAATTCATGGAAATATATTTTATCTTCTATGAAAAGAAAAAGGTATAAAATAGGACTAACATGTAGCAACTGGTAAATTAATTTCACAGTGGAGGTGTGAAAAGAACACGGTCAATGGGCGACAAATTTTTTACCTGGCCCATAAAACAACCAATGAAAGCAAGAAGAATTGAAGCTAAAAATCCTGCAAAAGTTCCCTCGAAGCTAACGGCCCCTTCAGTCCCCCTTGGCACAATCTTAAATGACGTGACGAGGTACCTAGAATAAGAAAGTCATTATATTTTTTTTTAAACATTCAAGAATTAGGTTGCTTAGGTGAACGAATATACATGCATTAGGGATGATTAGAAATTCTCCTGAGGTTTCGAGTAATTATAGAAAAATAGAAGTTTCAGAATTCCCAAAAAACCCCTTGAGATTTGATACAAACCTCAGGGATGATCTTTCTAATTGTCATTAAGCATTAATGCAACCATCAGCTCATTTCCCAAAAAGAAAATTCATTATTTGCTATTTCTACTCGTACTTCTTTTCACTTGCTACTACACAATTCTTTTGCCAAAGAAAAATACTTGGAAAGAAAATCAAGACGTACTAAAGAAAACTAGAGCACGAGAGAAGAGAAGTACTAACGTTGTTTTTCCATATGCCTTTCCTATCTCACTCGAGACAGTGTCACTCAGCTTAGTACAGAAACTAGCTACAAAACCGAGCTCCCACAGTCGAGCAAATGCCACATCACCAACACCATATATAGAGAGAAAGGCACAAGCACAGCCCGCAGCACTCGACCCAATCACGCTACCCGGGCCCCGTCTTCCTTTTCTTTTCTCGGCAACACCTTGAGCTTCCTTTTGAGCCATTTTCACCTTAGTAGCTGCCGTTCCCTGCAAAGTTATCGCTTTATCTTTACATCTTAATTAAGCAGACATGATAAATTCTGACATCCACATATTCAACCAATTTCAACGGAGCGTCTATGTATTTGAAAATAAAGACATTTACTTCAAGTGCAAGGATATCACTAAACAAGTGCAAATGACTTTCTTCTGTAATAAGAAATTCAAAACAGCACAAAATGCAATCTTTCTCACTTTAGCATCCAACTTAAAACTTCAACAATTCGTGCCCCTTTCAAATTCAACAATCTCAAACACACTGCAAGTCCATTAATCTCAATTTAAGATCCCAAATCAAATCTCAAGCTCATGCCGTACATGCATAAGTTTAAATTTTTATTTTTTTTTATTCAACTCACAATGACAAAATACGCGGCCACAAGAAGAAACCCAGAAGACCCAAAAGCTCGCCACGTAAGAGTCCCGAGCAAGAAAGCCGCAGCTATGCCGGACAGAGACAAGCCCGTGACCAGAATCGGAGAGCCCAGTACGAAGATCAGGGCGTTGCTGAAGAGGGCCGATTGCCACGTCGCGGGAGACGATCGGACCAGCTGAACGGCTTGCTGCAGCAGGCCCGGATCGAGATCACCGGCGGCTGATGATACTTGAATTTGGGTCGCCATTTTTCTCCTCAATATTGGTGCTTTATTAGGGTTTGGATTTGAGGGAAGAACGAGGGTTTTAGATGTGGATTTGGGGAAATTGGGGAGCAAATGGAATAAGGGCTTTGAGGAGAGAGTAATGGGAGCTGAGAGGAATATTGCCATTTTTTTTTCTTTTTTTTGGTATAGTTATTGTTGGGGAAGAAAGAAAAAGCACAAGAGAAGAAATCTGGTGTGGCTGCGTGTAACGACTATAACAAGTGACAGCTGAGTAACGGAGTCAACAATTAGTTCCTTAACATTATTAGCAACGAGCACAAAGTGTTTTGAGAGATTTAATATGATATTTTTATATTTATTTTATACAGAATTTGATTGGATACACAAAGATGTTTAAAAAAAAATATTGTTTAAAAAAAATCATAATAATTATTTCTCAATATTATTATTATTTTAAATAGGTTAACTATAAATCATTTGCATTTTATTGTTTTATTATTTTTTATTGCATCAATTTCATTTGACTTTATTTAATATCCATTCATGATCTTAAAATTATTTTATTTTTTCACCAAAATAAATAATACTAACTATTATATAATATAAACTAATCTTCACAATTCATTTTAATTATCAATCATTTACATTTATTATTATACTAAATTTTACACCACGTCAATTATCCATCAATACATTTTATTTTATATTAATTTACAATCTCAGAATTATTTTACTTTTACATAATTAATAATAATAATTTCCACTCTCAAAATTATTTTACTTTTCCATCAATTTTTTTTTTCTCTAATAATTTATATTCAATCACAATTTAATTTAGTGAAAAATATATATCATGAATGTGCTCTGAAATTGTAACAAAGTTGCCTTGTAGCAACCAATTTACATTTTTTTTTTAAATTTTACTTTTGTATAATATTTTCATCTAATGTATGAAAAAAAGAAATAATGGATGAAAAATCAAAATCATGAATAAAAGAAGATAACACACCACATTACAAGAGACTAATGAGTGATGTCTCAATAGTGAAGATACAATTTTTACATCTTAGATTTCCCATTAGTGATCAACATCCCATATAGCAATTGATTCCAAGTATCAGGAACTCCACCTAGGCACCAATGGCTACAATCATTTCCTTTTTGCCCATCGAGCCCGTAAATTGACGGATGACCGTCTTTCCTTAGAGCAGAGAGAGTCGTCACGTCCAACAACCCAACCGGAGTTTTCATGCCGCTAAGCACGGCTTTCACCACTGCCACCGCCGACAGGGTTCCACCAGGATAAACCGACCCATTGATCGGTTGGGTCTCGCCTCTACAATTAGTCCCCTTTGGTGCATTCCACTCCGAACCACTACATAAACATGTGTTATATTGTTAGAATACGATATTATGTATAATGTTGTGTTTGTTCTTGTATAATGTTTGGATAATATGGGAATGAGCATTTAAAGCGAAAAGTGAGAATGAGTTACTAGTACGCCTGTAAATGAGTCGAGCCGAGCTCGGATCGTTAAATAAACGAGCCTGAAATCGAGTTCGACTCAACTCGTTTATCATTAATAACGAGGCGAGTTCGATTCGATCTCGAGCTTTAAGGAGCTGAATTATAGAAAATTCTACAAAAATTGTCGGTTTGAGCCTCACCGAGCTGAGTCGAGCTCGGGTTGTTAACCAAACGAGTTTCAATTGAGCTCGAGCTCGGCTTGGCTTATTTATCAAACGAGCGGAGCTTATCTCGAGCCGATCCAAACTCGTTTAATTTAACAACACTAGTTACCAGCAATCATCAATCGAGATTGATAATTAGTTACTAGGTCGATATGACCATGTTCACTAGTTACCAGTAATCATCGTTTGAGATTCAGAATCAGTTACTAGATCGATATAACCATGTTCAAAGTTAATCATTCGAGCAACTAATAATTTACAACGATGTCACGATAATATGAGATTTCACATGTAATGATTTTTTATTAGTTGCATAGTATATAAAAAGAAATACACATATTGACACCTACACACACACACAAACGAAGAAACAAACAAGAAGCTTACTTGTAATGAGTAGGGGAAATGCCTTGAAAGAAAACCTTAGTTTGTAAGGGATTAACATTAGAATCCACCCATTTGGACCATGTCTTTAACCCTTCACTAAACGCCGTTAACCGATCCATGTCTTTAACAAGCTTCCCACCTTGTTGGATATAATCCCATCTGATCAATTTATTACCATTAAATATGACATGCATATTAATTAATTTGTTAAGAAAATTAACAAGGGAAAATAAAAATCAAAGGGTGAACTTTCTCACGTACGGTTTTTGATTTCCTTTGTGAAGCCACCAGTGCCACGTGTTGAATATAAGCATATCAAACCCTTTCCATGAATTCCCATTTTGGATTGAATCCAACTTCAAAATCCTGAGATTCTTTTCAACCACAAAATCAACCAAAAATGCATTTCTAGACAGCATCAATGAGATGTTATAGTCCTGCACCATATTCATATAAATTCTCAAATCGCGCCTTATATACGTAGCAATATCGTTGAAGTACTTATTGAGTATTGACGACCGA